ACACCGAGGGGGGACAGAGGGGGGGGCACCGGCACCGCCCCCGCCCCGCGGGTTTGGGGGAAAAAAAGGGAAAATTGGGGCTGGAGGGGAGGGGACAGAGGGATGGGGACAGGGATGGGGGAGGGACAGGGACAGATGGACAGGGACATTATTGGGGACAGGGACAAGGATGCCACCAGTGCTGTTGGGGTCAGGGGACAGCAGTGCCACCAGTGCCACCAGTGCCACCCTCATGACTGGGGACAGGGCCACCAGTGCCACCAGCAGTGCCAGGGGACGCTGCTGTCACCTCCCCGGTGCCACCCCCACTGTCCCCGTCCTGCTGCCGCCCTCCCAGTGCCACCAGGGCCACCTGGGCCACCCTGTCACTGTCACCCCCCGGTGCCACCATCCCACTGTCCCCACCCTGCTGCCACCCCCCAGTGCCACCGGTGTCACCCATCACTGATGTCACTGGTGCCACCAGTGCCACCAGTGCCATTGTCACCGCTGCCACCATCCAGTGCCAGCGCTGCCGCCATCCTCTGCTGCTGTCACCGCTGCCACCATCGCTGCCACCACCCAGCGCCACCAGTGCCATTGTCACCGCTGCCACCATCCGCTGCCATAAATGTCACCAGTGCCACCATCACCTGTGTCACCTGTGTCACCTGTGCCATCAGCGCCGCCACTGCCACCCCCAGTGCCACCAATGGTGCCACCCCCAGTGTCCCCAGTGTCCCCAGTGTGTCCCAGTGCCACCATCCCCAGTCTGTCCCAGTGTCCCCATTCCCAGTGTCCCCACTGGCCCCAGTGCCACCATCCCAGTCTGTCCCAGTGCCACCACCTCCAGTGTCACCAGTGTCCCCATTCCCAGTGTCACTGGTCACCCCCACTGTCCCCAGTCTGTCCCAGTGCCACCACCCGCACTGCCCCCAGTGCCACCATCACCAGTGCCATGAGTGTCCCCACTGTCCCCCAGCGCCACCATCCCGGTGTCCCCAGTGTCCCCAATCTGTCCCGGTGCCACCATCCCCAGTGCCACCAGTGTCCCCATTCCCAGTGTCCCCAGTGCCATCGGTGCCACCATCCCCAGTGCCACCAGTCGCCGTCCTGGTCTGTCCCAGTGTCCCCATTCCTGGTGTCCCCAGTGCCACTGGTGCCACCATCCCCAGTGCCACCATCCCGGTGTCCCACTGTCCCCAGTGTCCCCAGTCTGTCCCCGGTGTCCCCAGTGCCACCATCCCCAGTGTGTCCCAGTGCCACCATTCCCAGTGTCCCAGTGTCCCCAGTGCCACCATTCCGGGATTTGGGGTCCCCCAGGTCAAAAGTTGGGGTTTGGGCCCCCCTGGATTTTGGGGTGGGATTTTGGGGTCCCCCAGGTTCTGGGGTGGGATTTTGGGGTCCCCCCAGGTTTTGGGGTGGGATTTGGGGTCCACTGGGTTAGGGGTGTCATTTTGGGGTCTCTCTGGATTTTGGGCTGGGATTTTGGGGTCCCCCCCGGGTTTTGGGGTGGGGATTGTCTCCCGCTGGGTTTCAGGGTGCCCTGACCTCCCGTTCCCCCCCGCTCCCAGATTACCACGGCGGCCGCTCCCGCAGGAAGAGCGTTCCCGGGGGGAAGCAGTTCAGCATCAACATGGACGCGCCGCCCGCGCCCCCCTTCCGGCCCTCGGTGAGCGCCCGTCGCCGTGGCAACCGCGGCCTGACCGTCGCCATGGCAACTGTGGCCTGCCTGTCGCCATGGCAACCGCTGCCTGACTGTCGCTCTGGTTACCATTGTCATTTCTTGCCGTGGTTACCATTGTCATCCGTTGCCACGGTTACCATTGTCATCCATTGCCGTGGTTACCATTGTCATCCATTGCCGTGGTTACCATTGTCATCCGTTGCCGTGGTTACCATTGTCATCCGTTGCCATGGTTACCATTGTCATCCATTGCCGTGGTTACCTTGCTTCCCCCGTCGTCCATTGCTGTTGTTACCGTGGTCACCACCTGCCCGTTGCCATGGTTACTGTGGCCCCCCATGGCCCGTTGCCATGGTTACCATTGTCACCCATCATCCGTGGGGGCTCGGGGTTAAAGGGGAATTGGGGGACAGGGAAGAATTTTAGGGGGTTTGGGGGGATTTTAGGGGGTTTGGGGGGGCCAGAATTGAAGGGACCCCCAAATTTAGGGAGGGGGCTCGGGGTTAGAGAGGATTTTGGGGAGGGGGAGAATTTTGGGGGGTTTTAGGTGGGCAGAATTAAAGGGAGCTGGATTTTGGGATCCCCCCAGGTTTTGGGGTCCCCCTCGGTTTTGGGGAGGGATTTTGGGGTCCCCCCAGGTTTTGGAGTAGGAGTTGGGGTCTCCCCGGGTTTTGGGGTGGGATTTGGGGTCTCCCTGAGTTTTGGGGTGGGTTTTGGGGTGGGATTTGGGGTCCTGCTGCATTTTAGGGGGTATTTTGGGGATCCCCCAAATTTTGGGGTCAATTTTAGGTTCCCACAGGTTTAGGGTGGGATTTTGGGGTTCCACGGGCTAGGGGTTAATTTTGGGGTCCCCCAGGTTTTGGGGTGGGGTTTTGAGGCCCCTCTGCATTTTGGGGGGGATTTTGGGGTCTCCCCGGGTTTTGGGGTGGGATCCAGGTTCTCCCTGAATTTTGGGTTGGGATTTTGGGGTCTCCCCGGGTTTTGGGGGGGGACCCGGGTTCCCCCCAGGTCGGGGGTTGGGATTTGGGGTTCCCGCGGATTTTGGGGTGGGATTTGGGGTCCCCCAGGTTTTGGGGTGGGATTTGGGTTCCCCTGGGTTACGGGTGTAATTTTGGGGTCTCCCTGGATTTTGGGGTCCCCCAGGTTTTGCGTTTTGGGGTGGGATTTGGGTTCCCCTGGGTTACGGGTGTAATTTTGGGGTCTCCCTGGATTTTGGGGTGGGATTTTGGGGTCCCCCAGGTTTTGCAGTGGGATTTGGGGTTCCCGCGGGTTTTGGGGAGGGATTTTGAGGTGCCCCCGGATTTCGGGGTGGGGGTTTGGATCCCTCTGGGTTTTGGGGTGGAGTTTTGTATCCCCCCCAAGTTTTGGGGTGGGATTTGGGCCCCCCTGGGTTTTGGGGAGGGATTTTGGTTTCTCTCTTGAGTTTTCGGGTCAGGTTTTGGGTCCCCCCAGGTTTTGGGGTGGGATTTTGGGGTCTCCCACATATTGTGGTGGGCTTTGAGCTCCCACAGGTTTTGGGGTGGGATTTTGGGGTCTCCCACATTTTAGGGTGGGATTTTGGGGTCCTGCTGCATTTTGGGGTGGGATTTGGGTTCCTCTGGGTTTTTGGGTGGGGTTTGGGCCCCCCGGGTTTTGGGTTGGGATTTTCGGGGGGTACCCGGGTTCCCCCCAGGTCAGGGATCGGGATTTGGGGTCCCCCAGGTCAAAAGTTGGGGTTTGGGCCCCCCTGGATTTTGGGGTGGGATTTTGGGGTCCCCCAGGTTCTGGGGTGGGATTTTGGGGTCCCCCCAGGTTTTGGGGTGGGATTTGGGGTCCACTGGGTTAGGGGTGTCATTTTGGGGTCTCTCTGGATTTTGGGCTGGGATTTTGGGGTCCCTCCAGGTTTTGGGGTGGGGTTTGGGGTCCCCCCCGGGTTTTGGGGTGGGGATTGTCTCCCGCTGGGTTTCAGGGTGCCCTGACCTCCCGTTCCCCCCCGCTCCCAGATTACCACGGCGGCCGCTCCCGCAGGAAGAGCGTTCCCGGGGGGAAGCAGTTCAGCATCAACATGGACGCGCCGCCCGCGCCCCCCTTCCGGCCCTCGGTGAGCGCCCGTCGCCGTGGCAACCGCGGCCTGACCGTCGCCATGGCAACTGTGGCCTGCCTGTCGCCATGGCAACCGCTGCCTGACTGTCGCTCTGGTTACCATTGTCATTTCTTGCCGTGGTTACCATTGTCATCCGTTGCCATGGTTACCATTGTCATCCATTGCCGTGGTTACCTTGCTTCCCCCGTCGTCCATTGCTGTTGTTACCGTGGTCACCACCTGCCCGTTGCCATGGTTACTGTGGCCCCCCATGGCCCGTTGCCATGGTTACCATTGTCACCCATCATCCGTTGCCGTGGTTTTCCCCCCCATCATCCATTGCCGTGGTCACTGCGATCTCCAAATCCCCGTTGCCATGGTTACTGTTGCCATCAATCATCCATTGCCATGGTTACCATGGGATCCTGGTCCCTCCCATTTCCATGGTTACCGTTGTCATCCGTTGCCATGGTTACCGTAATCTATCCCCCCCTTACCCGTAGCCACGGCTGCTGTGAGCTCTGTCAACTGTTGCCATGGTTTCCACGTTCCCAATGCACCCGTTGCCATGGTTACCCTGTCACACACCCTTTGCCGCGGTTACTGTGGCCCTCCATCACACGTTGCCGTGGTTGCCATGGTTACCACGGTCCCGTTTCCACATTACCACAGTTACTGTGGTTCCCACATGCCCGTTGCTATGGTAACTGTGCTCCCCATACATCCAGTGTCTTGGTTACCAGGGTAGCTGTTGCCGTGGTTACCAGATGCACACCCGTTGCCATGGTTACCGTGGTCCCTCCATCACCCGTTGCTGTGGTTGCTGTGGTACCCAGACAGCCGTTGCCGTGGTTACCCCATCACACACCCGTTGCCATGGTTACCGTGGTCCCTCCATCACCCGTTGCTGTGGTTGCTGTGGTACCCAGACAGCCGTTGCCGTGGTTACCCCATCACACTCCTGTTGCTGTGGTTACCCCATCACACACCCGTTGCCATGGTTACTGGTTACTGCAGTCCCTCATCACTCATTGCCGTTTTTGCTGTGGTACCCAGGCAGCCGTTGCCATGGTTACTGCGGCCCAGCACATCCCTGTCGTGGTTATTGCAGTCCTGCCCGTTGCCATGGTTACCGTGGTCCAGCACTTCTGCGTTGCCATGGTTACCCTGGCCCCGCTCCTCCCCGTTGCCATGGTTGCCGTGGTTGTGCCTGTTGCCATGGTTACTGTGACTCATTGCATCGCCGTTGCCATGGTTACCACCATCCCTGTGGTCCCCACGCTCCCGTTGCCATGGCAACTCCTCCACCTGGCACCGCGGGAGCCGCGATGCTTTGCTGCCTGTCTCCATGGCAACCGTGACCCTGTAGTAGCTGTTGCCATGGTAACCGGGTAGCCCATGTCCTGAGTGACCCGTTGCCATGGCAACAAGGTAACCCCAGGTCAGGAGCTGGGTAACCCGGTTCCCACAGTAACGGGTTATTGCAGCCCCAGGTGACCTGGATCCGGAATAACCCGTTGCCATGGTAACCAGGTGACCTGGATCTGGAATAGCCTGTTGCTATGGTAACAGAACAACCCAGGTACTGGATAGCCTGTTGCCATGGTAACAGGGTAACCCAGATCCTGAATGACCCGTTACTATGGTAACCAGGTAAACCAGGTCTGGAATAATTCGTTGCCGTGGTAACAGGGTAACTTGAATCTGGAATGACCCGTTGCCGTGGTAACCAGGTAATCAGGTCCAGAATGAGCTCCCGGTTCCCACAGTAACGGGTTATTGCAGCCCCAGGTGACCTGGATCCGGAATAACCCGTTGCCATGGTAACCAGGTGACCTGGATCTGGAATAGCCTGTTGCTATGGTAACAGAACAACCCAGGTACTGGATAGCCTGTTGCCATGGTAACAGGGTAACCCAGATCCTGAATGACCCGTTACTATGGTAACCAGGTAAACCAGGTCTGGAATAATTCGTTGCCGTGGTAACAGGGTAACTTGAATCTGGAATGACCCGTTGCCGTGGTAACCAGGTAATCAGGTCCAGAATGAGCTGTTGCCATGGTAACCAGGTGACTCAGGTCCAGAGTGACCCGTTGCCATGGTAACCAGGTGACTCAGGTTCGGAGTGACCCGTTGCCATGGTAACCAGGTGAATCAGGTCCGGAGTGACCTGTTGCCATGGTAACCAGTTGAACCCAGGTCTGCAATAATTTGTGTCCACGGTAACCGCTGTGTTAGGTAACGGTGTCCTGTGCTGCCCGTTGCCATGGTAACTACACAACCCACACACGGAATGACCTGTTACCATGGTAACCACTTCACCTGGATCTGGAATAACCCGTTGCCATGGTAACCGGGTCACCTGGCTCCCGGGTGACCCCTTGTCAGAGTAACTGGTCTGTTGCCATGGTAACCAGGTAAACCAAGTCTGGAATTACCCGTTGCCATGGTAACCGGGTAACCCGGCTCCTGAGTGACCCGTTGCCATGGAAACCATGACCCAATGACCCCCCCCCCTCTCAGACCCTGGTGACCCCTGAGCCCTCACTGACCCCTTGACCCCAGTGACCCTGTGGTCACTTGGCGACCCCTGACCTCTGGGTGACCCCCTGACCCCTGGGTGACCTCAATGACCCTGTGACCCCTGGGTGACCCCTGACCCCTCAATGACTCTGTGACCCCTGGGTGACCCCAGTGACCCTGTGACCCCTGGGTGACCCCAATGACCCCAATGCCCCTTCAGTGACCTCTGACCTGCCAGACCCCAATGTCCCCCGACCCCCATGTGACCCCGTGACCCCGGGTGACCCCGGTGTGACCCCGTGACCCCGGTGTGACCCCTGTCCCCAGCAAGGCTTCCTGAGCCGCCGCCTCAAGAGCTCCATCAAGCGCACCAAGAGCCAGCCCAAGCTGGACCGGACCAGCAGCTTCCGGCAGATCCTGCCGCGCTTCCGCAGCGCCGACCACGACAGGTGAGACAGCTGGGATACACCTGGGTACAGCTGAGATACACCTGGGCACAGCTGGGTACACGTGAGATACACTTGGATACACCTGGGATACACCTGGGATACACCTGGGCACAGCTGAGATACACCTGGGCACACCTGGGATACACCTGGGCACAGCTGGGAACACCTGAGACACACCTGGGATACACCTGGGCACAGCTGGGTACACCTGAGATACACCTGGGCACAGCTGGGTACATGTGAGATACACCTGGGTACACCTGGGATACACCTGGGCACAGCTGGGATACACCTGGGATACACCTGGGCACAGCTGGGATACACCTGGGCACAGCTGGGTACACCTGAGATACACCTGGGTACAGCTGAGATACACCTGGGCACAGCTGGGTACACCTGGGATACACCTGGGACACACCTGGGCACAGCTGGGATACACCTGGGTACTGCTGGGTACACCTGAGATACACCTGAGATACACCTGGCCACACGTGAGATACACCTGAGCACACCTGGGCACACCTGAGATACCCGGATACAGCTGGGGCATTGGGGACACACCTGGGACACACCTGGGGCAGCTTCCGGCAGATCCTGCCATGCGTCCAGAGTGCCGACCACGACAGGTGAGACACCTGGGCACACCTGAGACACACCTGAGTACAGCTGAGACACACTTGGATACACCTGGGGGCACCTGAGACACACCTGGGTACACCTGAGACACACTTGGATACACCTGGGCACACCTGAGACACACCTGAGTACAGCTGAGACACACTTGGATACACCTGGGGGCACCTGAGACACACCTGGGCACAGCTGGGATACACCTGGGCACAGCTGGGTACACCTGGGCACAGCTGGGTACACCTGGGATACACCTGGGCACACCTGGGGCATTGGGGACACACCTGGGTACACCTCACACACCTGAGGCAGCTTCCGGCAGATCCTGCCGCGCTTCTGGAGCACCAACCACAACAGGTGAGATACACCTGGGCACACCTGAGATACACCTGGGTACAGCTGGGGCACTGGGGACACACCTGGGACACACCTCACACACCTGGGGCAGCTTCCGGAGCGCTGACCATGACAGGTGAGACACCTGAGATACACCTGGGTACACCTGGGTACACCTGAGATACACCTGGGTACAGCTGGGGCACTGGGGACACACCTGGGACACACCTCACACACCTGGGGCAGCTTCCGGAGCGCTGCCCACGACAGGTGAGATACACCTGGGACACACCTGGGGCAGGTTTCAGCAGATCATGCCACGCTTTCAGAGCGCAGATCACAACAGGTAACACACCTGGGCACATCTGGGGTACACCTGGGCACAGCTGAGACACACCTGGGCACACCTGGGGGCACCTGAGGCATTGGGGACGCACCTGGGTACACCTCACACAGCTGGGGCAGCTTCTGGCAGATCCTGCCGCGCTTCCAGAGCGCCGACCGTGAGAGGTGAGACACCTGAGATACACCTGGGCACAGCTGGGGCACACCTGGGCACACCTGGGGCACTGGGAACACACCTGGGCACGACTGAGATACAGCTGGGTACAGCTGGGCACACCTGAGACACACCTGGGATACACCTGGGGGCACCTGCGGGCATTGGGGGCACACCTGGGGACAGATGTGGGGACACCACAGGGACTCCTGGAGGCACCAGGGGTCACCTGGGCACACCTGGGGACACCTGGGGTCACCTGGACACACCTGGGGTCACCTGGGCACATCTGGGGACACCTGGGGTCACCTGGACACACCTGGGGTCACCTGGGGACACACCTGAGGGAGTTTGGGGGCACTTTGGGGACACCTGGAAACACACCTGGGACACACCTAGGAGACCTGGACACACCTGGGGACATCAGGGCACACCTGGGGACACCACGGGGGCATTTGGGGACATGTGGGGGCACTGGACCAGCAGCTCCCACAGCGCCGAGCGTGACAGGTACCGGCAACACCTGGGGCACACCTGGGGGCACCCCGGGGGGCTTTGGGGGTCCCACCGTGTGGGGGCCCTGAGTTCCACCAGGAACTCCCCAAAATCCCCCCAAAATCCTCCCAAAATCCCCTCAAATCCTCCCCAAAATACCTCCAAAACCCCTCAAACCCCCCCAAATCTCCCAAAATCCCCTCCCATCCCCCCAAAATCCCCCTCAAATCTTCCCAAATCCCCTGAACTTCCCCCAAAATCCCCCTCAAATCTTCCCAAATTCTCTCAAATCTCCCAAAATCCCCTCCAATCCCCCCAAAATCCCCCTCAAATCTTCCCAAATTCTCTCAAATCTCCCAAAATCCTCTCAAATCCCCTCAAATCTCTGCAAATGCCCCAAAATTCCCTCAAATCTTCCCAAATCCCCTGAACTTCCCCCAAAATCCCCCTCAAATCTCCCCCAAATCCCCCCAAATTCCCTCTGATCCCCCCCAAATCCCTTTCCAACCCCTCCAATCCACCCCAAATTCCCCCCAAATTCTCCCAAATCCCCCCAGACCCCTCCAGATCTCCCCGAATTCCCGAAATTCCCAAAATTCCCGCCCCCCATGCAGGGCCCGGCTGATGCAGAGCTTTAAGGAGTCGCACTCGCACAAACTCCCCAAATCCCCCTGAAATGCCCCCAAATCCCCCTGAATCCCCCCAAATGCCCCCAGACCCCCCCAGGGCCCCCCAGATCCCCCCGAATTCCCGAAATTCCCGCCCCCCGCGCAGGGCCCGGCTGATGCAGAGCTTTAAGGAGTCGCACTCGCACGAGTCGCTGCTGAGCCCCTCGAGCGCGGCCGAGGCGCTGGAGCTGAACCTGGACGAGGATTCCATCATCAAGGCCGTGCACAGCAGCATCCTGGGCCAGGAGTTCTGCTTCGAGGTGGGCGTTCCGGAACCTTCCGCGGCTCCGGGGGCCTCGCGGGGGCGTGGCTCACCTGTGGCGGGGGGCGGTGCCCGCAGGTGACGACGGCGTCGGGCACCAAATGTTTCGCCTGTCGGTCGGCGGCCGAGAGGGACAAATGGATCGAGAACCTGCAGCGTGGGCAACTGGTGAGAATGGGGGTCGTTCACTGGTGTTTGATGGTCAACTGGTTATGGGGAGAGTCAACGGGTCAGGGGGATGGGCATCTGGGGGATGGGGGATTGTTAACTGGTGTTTGATGGTCAACTGGTGATGGGGAGGGTCAACGGGTCATGGGGATGGGCAACTGGTGGGGATAGGTGCCGTTAACTGGTGTTCAATGGTCAGCTGGTTATGGGAAGAGTCAGTGGGTCATGGGGGTGGGCAACTGGTCATGGGAGGGGGGAACTGGTGGGGATGGGTTTGTTAACTGGTGTTTGATGGTCAACTGGTGATGGGGAGGGTCAACTGGTCACGGGAGAGGGCAACCAGCAGGGGTGGACATCTGGTCATAGGGATGGGCAACTGGTCAGGGGGGCAGGCAACTGGTGAGAATGGGGGTCGTTCACTGGTGTTTGATGGTCAACTGGTTATGGGGAGGGTCAACGGGTCATGGGGATGGGCAACTGGTGGGGATGGGTTTGTTAACTGGTGTTTGATGGTCAGCTGGTGATGGGGAGAGACAGTGGGTCATGGAGATGGGCAACTGGTCATGGGGAGGGTCAACAGGTGATGGGGGTGAGCAACTGGTGAGAATGGGGGTTATTCACTGGTGTTTGATGGTCAACTGGTTGTGGGGAGGGTCAATGGGTCATGGGGATAGGCAACTGGTCAGGGGGGTGGGCAACTGGCGGGGATGGGGTTGTTAACTGGTGTTTGATGGTCAACTGGTGATGGGGAGAGACAGTGGGTCATGGAGATGGGCAACTGGTCATGGGAGTGGGCAACTGGTCAGGGGGGTGGGCAACTGGCGGGGATGGGGTTGTTAACTGGTGTTTGATGGTCAACTGGTGATGGGGAGGGTCAACGGGTCATGGGGATGGGCAACTGGTGGGGATAGGTGCCGTTAACTGGTGTTCTGGGAAACTGGTCAGGGGGATGGGCAACTGGTCAGGGGGGTGGGCAACTGGTCAGGGGGATGGGCAACTGGTCACGGGGGTGGGCAACTGGGGGATGGGGTCATTAACTGGTGTTTGATGGTCAGCTGGTCATGGGGGTGGGCAACTGGTGGGGATGGGTTTGTTAACTGGTGTTTGATGGTCAACTGGTGATGGGGAGGGTCAACTGGTCACGGGAGAGGGCAACCAGCAGGGGTGGACATCTGGTCATAGGGATGGGCAACTGGTCAGGGGGGCAGGCAACTGGTGAGAATGGGGGTCGTTCACTGGTGTTTGATGGTCAACTGGTTATGGGGAGGGTCAACGGGTCATGGGGATGGGCAACTGGTGGGGATGGGTTTGTTAACTGGTGTTTGATGGTCAGCTGGTGATGGGGAGAGACAGTGGGTCATGGAGATGGGCAACTGGTCATGGGGAGGGTCAACAGGTGATGGGGGTGAGCAACTGGTGAGAATGGGGGTTATTCACTGGTGTTTGATGGTCAACTGGTTGTGGGGAGGGTCAATGGGTCATGGGGATAGGCAACTGGTCAGGGGGGTGGGCAACTGGCGGGGATGGGGTTGTTAACTGGTGTTTGATGGTCAACTGGTGATGGGGAGAGACAGTGGGTCATGGAGATGGGCAACTGGTCATGGGAGTGGGCAACTGGTCAGGGGGGTGGGCAACTGGTGAGAATGGGGGTCGTTCACTGGTGTTTGATGGTCAACTGGTTATGGGGAGAGACAGTGGGTCATGGGGATGGGCAAGTGGTCATGGAAGTGGCAACTGGGGGATGGGGGTCATTAACTGGTGTTCAATGGTCAGCTGGTTATGGGGAGAGCCAATGGGTCATGGGGATGGGCAACTGGGGGATGGGGGTTGTTTACTGGTGTTTGATGGTCAACTGGTTATGGGGAGAGTCAATGGGCTATGGGGGTGGGCAACTGGTCATGGGGGAGGGTAACTGGTCAGGGGGATGGGCAACTGGTGAGAATGGGGGTCGTTAACTGGTGTTCAATGGTCAGCTGGTGTTCAATGGTCAACTGGTTATGGGGAGAGTCAATGGGTCACGGTTGGTGAGCTGCTCATGGCAGGGTGAACTGGTCATCGGGATGGTGAAGTGGTGGGAATAGAAATGGTCAGCTGGTGTTTAACTGGTCATGGGAATGGTCAGCTGGTGGGGATGGTCATGGTGTTGATGGTCAGCTGATGTTTGATGGTCAGCTGGTGGGGATGGTCAGATGGTGATGAGGATGGTTGTGGTGTCAATGGTCAGCTGGTGATGGAAGTGGACAGCTGATATTGATGATCAGCTGGTGATGGAGCTGGTCAGCTGGTGGGGTTGGTCATCTGGTGCCGATGGTTAACTGGTGTTTGATGGTAAACTGGTGTTTGATGGTAAACTTGTGGTGTTGGTGGTTGACTGGTAATGACGGTGGTCAACTGTTATTGATGGTCAGCTGGTGTTTGATGGTCAGCTGGTGTCGATGGTCAGCTGGTGGTGGGGGTGGTCATGGTGTTTATGGCCAAGTGTGTTGGTGGTCAGCTGGTGTTGATGGTTAACTGGTGGGGATGAAGATGGTCACCTGGTGTTGATGTCAGCTGGGATAAGGATGGTCAAGCAGTGGTGATGAGCGCGGTCAACTGGTGTTGATGGTCATCTGTGCTTGATCGTCAACTGGTGGGGATGAGAATGGTCAAGTGGTGTTGGTGGTCATCTGGTGGAATGGGGGTGGTCCGTTGGTGTTGATGTCAGCCAGACTAGGGATGGTCAGGCAATGGTGATGAGCCTGGTCAGGGGGTGTTGATGGTCATCTGGGTGGTCAGTTGGAGGGGATGTTGATGGTCAGCTGGTGTTGATGGTCAGCTGGTGATGGGGGTGGTCATGATGTTGATGGTCAGCTTGTATCAATGGTCAGCTGGTCTTGATGTCAACGGGGCTAAGGATGCCCAAGCCACTGTGATGAGCCCGGTCAGCTGGTGTTGAGGGTGTTCATGATGTTGATGGTCAGCTGGTGTTGATGGTCATCTGGTGGGAGTGAGGATGGTTGAGCAATGGCGATGAGTGTGGTCAGCTGGTGGTCATGGTCAGCTGGTGTAGATGGTAAACTGGTGTTAATGATCAACTGGTGAGTATGGGGATGGTCATCTGGCTGGTGTTGATGGTCAGTGGATGCTGATGGTCAGTGGGGGCTGATGGTCAGCTGGTGTTGGTAACCAGTTGGTGTTAACAATCAGCTAGTGGCAATAGGGATGGTCAGCTGGCAGTGGTGGTCAGGGGGTGTTGATGGTCAGTGAGCATTGATGGTCACCTGGCGTTGGTGGCCAGCTGGTGTTAACGATCACCTGGTGCCAATGGGGATGGCCTCCTGGCATTGATGGTCACCTGGCATTGATGGTCACCTGGTGTTAACGATCACCTAGTGGCAATGGGGATGGTCACCTGATGTTGGTGGCCAACTGGTGTTAACAACCACTTGGTGACAGTGGGGATGGTCACCTGGCATTGATGGTCACCTGATGTGGATGGTCACATTGATGGTCACCTGGCATTGATGGTCACCTGGTGTTGATGGTCACCTGGTGTTAACACTCACCTGGTGTCAGTGGGGATGGTCACCTGGCATTGCGGTTCACCTGGTGTTAATGATCACCTGGTGTCAATGGGGGTGGTCACCTGGTGTTGATGGCCAGCTGGTGTTGATGGCCAGCTGGCGTTGATGGTCAGCTGGTGCTGATGGTCACCTGGTGTTAACAATCACCTGCTGTCAGTGGGGATGGTCACCTGGCATTGCGGTTCACCTGGTGTTAACAATCACCTGGTGGCAATGGGGATGGTCACCTGGCATTGAAGGCCTCCTGGCTGGTGTTCAATGGTGGTGTTGATGGTCACCTGGTGTTGATGGTCACCTGGTGTTAACACTCACCTGGTGTCAGTGGGGATGGTCACCTGTCACTAATGGTAGCCGGGCTAAGGACGGCCCCTCGCGGCTCCGAGCTGCTCCACGGGCGTTGCCACTCCCTGGTGCTCTGACCACGCGGTGCCCACGGGCTCTGACCGCGCAGGACAACAGCCGCCGCGTGGACAACGTGCTGAAGCTGTGGGTGATCGAGGCGCGCGACCTGCCGCCCAAGAAGCGCTACTACTGCGAGCTGTGCCTGGACGACATGCTGTACGCGCGCACCACCAGCAAGGCCCGCACCGACAACGTCTTCTGGGGCGAGCACTTCGAGTTCAACAACCTGCCGGCCGTGCGCACCATCCGCCTGCACCTCTACAAGGACACCGACAAGAAGAGGAAGAAGGACAAGAGCAACTACGTGGGCATGGTGAGCATCCCCATCGCCAGCGTCACCGGGCGGCACTTCGCCGAGCAGTGGTACCCCCTGAGCCAGCCCAGCGGCAGCAAGAGCAAGGCCGGGTGCCCGGCGCTGCGGGTCAAGAGCCGCTTCCAGACCATGAGCATCCTGCCCATGGAGCTCTACAAGGAGTTCGCCGAGTACGTCACCAACAACTACCGCATGCTCTGCGCCGTGCTGGAGCCCGTGCTCAGCGTCAAGAGCAAGGAGGAGGTGGCCTGCGCGCTGGTGCACATCCTGCAGAGCACCGGCAAGGCCAAGGTGGGGCTTCGGGGTTGGGACGGTGGGATCTGGGAGGCTGGGATGGATGATGGATGGATGGATGATGGGTGAAGATGGATGGATGG